AAATAAAAATTCAGCAAATTCACGAATCAAAAATTCAATGAACGCATCAAGACTAGAGTAAGTTTTACCACACGGGTTTTTAGAGGCAAAAAGACAAAACACTTTTTTTTCAAAATGTTTAAGCGGTTTTCTTAAAATTTGCGCTTAACTCCGTGTTTACAAAAAATGCTAAATCATATTTGAAATTTGTATATTGATTTTTCAGTATTACCCAAAATCTGGCAAAAATTTGGGTTTCAAAAAATTCAGTGAACGAGGAAGGAATTCTGGCCGTGATCCGCAGAGCAGTTTGTCAAACTTTCGACACGTTCAAAGACGTTGACTTAAATACTGAATTAAACTAAATTTGTTGGAAGCTTATTTAAATGCAGTAATTTATTGTGTCAATAAAAATCAAGGTTTTTTAGGTAGATTGCGACTTTGTGAAGAGCGAATGTTTCAAGAAGGGCGGTACGGGCGAGGCGAGCGTCGAGCACTGGATGCACACGCAAATCGTCGAGAATAATAGAAGGTCTGGGCGCTTTTTTGTAATAAACCTAATTCAGTTTAATTTAATTAATTTTTACGCGCGTTTTAAAATAATTTTTAATTTTGAGAAATATCAAATCACTAAAACACGGTTTAGGTTCCCGTTCATTAAAAAGCAATGTTTCGCCTAAAAATATTCAAAAAAGTCATGTGGTTTCGGGAGTTTAGTCTCTAAATGCAGCTTCAATAATACAAAAATTACCGGTATAATGCGGTAAAATACACAAATAATATTGTTAATATTATTAGGCCTCTTCCCACAAAAAAAACCGGTAGAAACAAAATGTTTTGCCTCAATTTGTTTAGAAATTTTGATTGTCAAAGTTGACATCCGTCACTACTGCGCTGATCAAAAACCACAATTCTCGTCATAGTATTACCCTAAAACCTCGTGTATAGTTCCGGTACAATTTGGTTCCGTACCAATACAAATGACGCAAAATAATGTGCGTAGGGTACAATTCGGCGCAAAAGCTATGTAAGCCAAAAGAGCCGGTTCTCAGGAAATTACGGACGCTCCGTACACCTGAAAATTTTCCCCCGGAACTATACAGGGTGTCCCAAAAAAAACCCCCCCCTAGCCGGCCGCAGACCCACCCGATTTTTACGATTTAGGTATCTATCGAAAGCTCTCGGAAAGGCGATGTCGGGACGCCTGGTCGATTTTCGAAATGTCGAAATTTTTTTATCATTTACTAATGTTTTTTGCGAAAAGCGCGGATTTTCTGTTGTTTTTCTGAGAAGGCGTTTTTTACAAAAATCGCAATTTAAGATTTTTTTATGCCTTTCCTGGCAGCCCAACGACAGCTCTTTGAAAGCCGTTTGCGAAAACACAGCTTGGATAGCGCTTAAACCGGTTGAATTGCGTTTTGGACAAAAAAGCGAGTCCTTTTTGCCTGAAAAAGGCCGAAAATTGAGCAAAAAATTTCGACATTTCGAAAATCGACCAGGCGTCCCGACATCGCCTTTCCGAGAGCTTTCGATAGATACCTAAATCGTAAAAATCGGGTGGGTCTGCGGCCGGCTAGGGGGGTTTTTTGGGACACCCTGTACACCAGGGGGAACTATACACGAGGTTTTAGGGTAACAACAATTTCACTTATTTAGCACGGTCCCACAAAAAAAGCCACCGGTGGAAAGCGCTCGTCCAGATGTGTTCATGTTCGTCTTCGACTCCGTATCATCTACGCAAGCCAGACGGTAAGTATTTTAAAGGGATAGAGACAGCAAGTTAGTACCCCGTAAGAAACGGGCTTAAAAGGCCGTTCGCGAGGGGCTCGACCAGCCCCCTATTATAGCCTAACGTCATCGGAAAAAGCAAGGTCGAATTAAGGCACCATTTTGGGCGTTTGCAAATTTATTTTCCTAGTTAGATTTACGAGGTTAGACTGGGCGCTAAAGTTGCCGAAAGCTAAAAATTATCTCGAAAGTCATGGGCCGAATAAGTGTTCATCATTATGTAAATCGTTGCAGCATTGTATTGCGCATCTTCCCATGTTAGCTAGGATATGCTCAACGCCGCCATTAAAAAAGTGTTTCTAAAAACCTCAAAACCCTCCGATTTTTCTTAGCACCAATAAGCGAGCGTGTCGAGTCGTAATATTTGTTGTATAGCCACAGAAAAAGGATTTCTGTATTTCTTGGCAATAATTTCCTTAGAAAGTCATTACTTTGCATCAGAATTCCCGTCATGTCAATGTTGCCGAGTGCGTGCGCGTCGCGTGTTGCGGCGTTTTACCTGCCTTTTAGATCGGCTTTTCGTTTTTTTATTTTCCGGGCGGGTCAACCTGGAAATCAGGTTCAAGTATAGGGCCGAGGTCGGTAAAAAAATTGTAAAAAATTTCAAAAATGTGTTTTAAAAAAGTTTATTAGCGGAAATCGAGGTGGCTCGATAATAACCCCCTTCTGATCATCTTTTGAGCTAATCAGAAAGCTTTTTTTAAAGAAATACACCGAAGAAACTTTTTGGAAGAAAGGTTACGCTTAGGATTTAGGGCATAGCGTAGAATTCGAAAACAGTCGTCGGGAAAAGCATGTTTTGAAACAGTTTGTGCACCAAAGACTGTAAAACGCGACAGTGGGCTGGCGCCTGCAACGAAATCAAGCTATTTAAGCTAGCCTTTAGTTTTTTCATCAATGCATTCGATCCCCGCATTTGCGAACTTAGACTTCTCAGCGCCTTTAAGATCGAATTCAAATTTGAGCCGTTTCATGATCGAATTTGCAAAAATTAGAGAAGTATGTTTTAAGAAAATTTTAGTAAAAAAATTCTGGGAAAATGACAATACATCCACACTCTAGTGCCGATAAAATGCATTTTTCAACGAATACAAGAAAATTTTACATAAAGTGTTACGATTAGGGTTTAGGGCGAAGCTCATAAGTTCGAAAACAGTTATTGGCAAAGCGATTTTTTGAAACAGCCGATTCATGAGAGACTGGGAAATGCGACAATCCTGCCATCCGTCTCACGAGAACCACAGCAAAAGTGTGTTGTTGTGTGTGTGTGTGTGTTTACAAAAAAAGTGTTGCGTTTAGGAACTAAGCCAAAGCCTAAAATTGGAAAACATTTCTTGTGCAAGCCATGTAATGAATCACTTTAACCATCAAAGGCTGCAAAATGCGAAAATCAAGTCAGTCGAATTATTTTTAAAACCAGCGCCCAAAAGCCGCTTCGCGGGCCTTGGGCGCTGGAATTCGGCCTTTGCAAGAAAAATTTAAATTTCCGATAGCTCGGGTCCTTGGGACCAGGGTTGGTCACAATGATCGGGGGTCCGCGTCCGTCCGCGTCCGTCCGCGTCCGGACGTGTCCGTCCGGGTCCGCTATGCAAATTGCGGACGCGTCCGGACGCGTCCGGACGCGGACGCAACGGACGCTACAGGGTCCGCCGGACGCCGGAAGGTCCGCGATGCAAAGCACAAAAGCGGATGCTAATTACAGGTGTCTCTGGTTTAGGAAAGCGTAGGATCATAATCTAACTTGCATCTTGACGTTGGCTTAGAATAAAACACAAAAATCACTGTCACCGTCCAAGGGAAAGCGCAAAAAAGGTTGAGCAAACGAAAGCTTTGAGATTTTAGTGCAATGTTCCATTGTTCTTGAGGTTTAGTACTAGTTTCTTCGTTTCCGACTTGCTTTTGTGTGACTATTTGGACAAGTGACAATTATTTTTTGTCATGATCCAAGTCAACACGAAATATTCAAATTAGGTCTCTGGTGATGCGCCTTCCTAAGCCACAGACTATTGAATTAACATGGTGATCTGCAGTTTGCATCGCGGACCTTCCGGCGTCCGGCGGACGCTGTAGCGTCCGCTGCGTCCGCGTCCGGACGCGTCCGGACCCGTATGCAAATTGCGGACGCGAACGGACTTTCGATCATCATGACCAACCCTACTTGGGACCCCTTTTCCCCACCGACCACACACGCGAATTGAAAAAGTGAGGAAATTTGTAATTTTTCACATTATGCAAATTAACTTTTCCGGACCCCAAAAAATGAATAAAACTGGATTTAACTTTGTAAACTTGGATTTTATCGGAATTCTGAAAACACCATGGAAAAGAGGAGGGTCGGTTCCCCCGGGTGACGGAGAATTAGGGCATTTTTATGCAAGGGAAGGCTCTCAAATCGGGCCTCGAAAGTGACATCCACACACACAGAGATACGGGACCAGATTATATAAGGTAGGATCCTTTCCGGTAATTTTTATTAGCAAAAAAACATGTTGGTTACATTAAAGCGAGAGGTGACGTTTTATGTATGCCATCTCATGAAACATCTCGTTGACTGAACTCCCTGGGTGAACGCTTATTTGGCATAATGTCATTTGGCATAATTTTCATTTGGCATAATTTTCATTTGGCATAATTGTCATTTGGCATAACGTTATTTGGCATAATGCTATTTGGCATAATTTAGCCTGTTTATGCATGTCACACAACCTCACAGGTAAAGACAAAGACAAGGACAAAGACGTTGCTGGGTGGAATAGACCCGCGGGGGGTTGGTTCTTCTTCGAACCGCGTTGGCGCATCTTTTCGTACTTGACATCGATCCGAATTTGATCGCCACCCAATTCCTTGAGGAACTGCCAATTGTTGTTGTGGGAATTGTTGATTTGGCGAGCGAATTATGCCAAATAACATTATACCAAATAACGTTATGCCAAATGACAATTATGCCAAATGAAAATTATGCCAAATGAAAATTATTCCAAATGAAAATTATGCCAAATGAAATTATGCCAAATGAAAATTATGCCAAGTGAAATTATGCCAAATGAACGTAAATCAACTCCCTGTGGTTTGAATTTTAATGAATATCTGTAGTTTTTGTGCTATTATTTTGTACTATTTTCTAGTTTAGTTCTCTGCCGAGATCGCTGAGTTTTCTGGAGACGAAATTCGGCGGTCGTCATTTTCACCATCTGAACAAAGTGGGCGACAACACGAGACCAAATGCGTATGCAATGTTTCTCGGTAAGAAGCTTAGAGTTTACAGAAAAAATGTATTACGTAGTATGTAAACCGGGCTAACTTTGAAATGCCAGCATTTCAATATGTCGAAAAAAACATAGTGTTGAAGTTCCCAAACGGAGAAATTTCATTTCATCCCGGAACTGTCGAAATTAAGCTCATAATATCCAAAAAGTAATGTCGAAATTCATAATGTCGAAACTTCAGAATGCCGAAAATTATAATTTCGAGATCTCAGCATTTCAAATATCGAAATTTCATAAGGTCTAAATTAGATGAAAATCTCCGGGAACAACCCCTCAAATCTGGTGTAAAAAATTTCGACATTTCGATGTTATGATTTTCGACAATTTTCGACATTATGAAATATTGACATTACACCTGAAAAAAACAATCGTATTAAAGCAACTTCGCGATTTTTTAACTATTTTTTTGGATGAAACACTAAAATTTTTCGGGTTGGCTGTCATTTTTATAATTTAGTAGATTCATGGTTATTTTTAGGTTTCTTTAAGTAATTTTTTGCAGGCTGGCGAATCTACGCGATTCGGCGAGATTCCGTGGGCGGGGTGAATGCGGACTCGGACCATCCGGACGTATGCAAATATGCCAGGGACAACGATTCGGTCATTTTTCGGGAATACGAGAAAATTGGTGGGTTTTGTTGCGTGCAAATTCAGATGATAAAATTTTCTTTTTATTCGTTTTAAGATAACATCTATCAATGGAGAAACGTTTAAAAAAAATTGAAACCAGTTTTCAGCGCTTTAGATTGAAATAAATAATAATATGTTTCAATATAAGTTTACGTTTCGTGTTTTTAACATTTTTTTAGTTAGGAAGGCTATTTGCAAACACAAAATCTATTCATAGATTTAATTGTTTTAAGAATATGAAAGCCCTTTCGTAGCGCGTTAGATTTTTTTAAGATGTTTCAGTATCAATTTAAGTTCGGCATCTTTCGCCATTTTTAATGTCGAATACGTTGGAGTATTCCTTACTTTTTTATAAGATATTTCCATCAGAATTTTTCACACTTTTAAGGCCTCGAAACATTTAATAGGAATTAAATGGTAATTTGTATGTATTTAATGGGGCCTGTAAGTCACGCTTCACGGCAAATTCCATGGGGATGAAATGAATCGCCAAAAATCAAAAAGCTGGATTTTCGCGTCACTGAATTTTTTAATGATTTGCTGGTGCCATGGCAGCCTTCTAATAAATTTAAACTGAAATCAAAAGCCAGTTGCAAATGAAAAACACATTTATTTAATTATTATACCTACTTTTTTCAGGCTACAAAACGATGTACAGTGAGGACTACGGTAGCCGGGACCGCATTTTCCTGGAATTGCAAAGGGTTCAAGGATCAGGAGGCGAACCATCTCTTTCGGTGAGTACGAGCGTACTCTTTTAAAGGCGCTAGGAAGCTAAAGGGTAGGTTGATTGCACTAGAGTTGTTATAACTCAAACAAAACAAGGCCTCAAACAATCTTGTTCGAACAACGTTGTTTGATAGGATTTTTGGAGATTCAAATCAAACATGTTTTGTTTGAGTTGACCGTTGATCGCTCAAACAAAACAAGATTGTTTGAACTATTTGTTTGAATTTTGTTTGACCTGGTTTGAAATCTACATTTGCTAATTTTGGGTTTAAAGTGTGATTTTTCAGCATTTTCGCAATTTGCATAAATTTTTCCGGTAAAATTTGTTTTTGAATGTTTGAATTCGCTTCCGATCCATCAAAAATCCCCAAAAATCTCACAGTCTAGGGTGTTCAAACAAGTTCAAACAATCTTGTTTGATTTGATCCCCTGGAACTCAAATCAAACAAGGTTGTTTTGTTTGAAACTTTTCGGGCTCAAACAAGCAAACTTGTTTGAGTTGTTTGAATAATTTGTTGTTTGTTGTTTGAGTTATAACAACTCTAGATTGCACTATGAAAATCAGGCATGCGTATTGCGACATCTTTAAAGGGGCTCCAAAATCTTATCGGCAGGCCCCTGCGTTGATTCCTGGCAAATGCGACCGCAAGGCGACCTCGCCGCATGATCTTTCGCCCCTGTTTGGACCTGAAAACGCTTGAATTTCAAAATTCTGAAACTATTGTGGAATCCTCATCGAATTCTGTTCATTCTAGACGTTTCCTTCAAGAAATTGATCAGAGACTCATACCGCCATAGCCAGTCTTTTGATGCAACATAATTTTTGCAAGCTGTCGACGACTTTTAAAGATACACTAAAATCTTGTGCAAAAAGTCAGTTCGCGGCGGGAATCCGGGCCCTTTGCCGCGCAACGCCCGGACCGTTCGTGTCCCCCTTCCCGTTCCCTTCTCCCGTCTGTCCCATGGCCTAGTGGTCTAAAGCGCTCGCCCATGCGAGTGGCGCGGGTTCGGTTTTGCTCCGCGGCGAGCGTCTACCGTAACCCTGTTTGCTATCCCGCGGACGGGTTACCGGCCGGTAACCAAATCAAAGAGACTTTAGTGTACCTTTAAGGGGAACCAAAGTCCGGTACACGCCCCCAGAATTGATTCCTGGCAAAGAGCCAGATGCGACCGCAATGCTACCGAACCGCATGCACTTTTGCCCTTGTTTGGACGTGAAAACGCTGGAATTGCAAAATTCTGACGCTATTTCTGGAACCCACACCAAATTTTGATGATTCCAGACTTTTTATTATCAAAATTGATCCGAGAATCACCGAGATCGAGAGATTGGGTACCTTACAAGGCATTACGACATGTGATCGCCGCCCACTCAAGCTGTCGTTTTCGCCCCAAGAACTTTTCCGTTTTACTCAAATATTTTACGTTGTTTTCGCAATGAAATCACTTTTCCGGTCCTTTCGACAGCGTCCCTTTCGTTTTTTGACCAGTAGGTTCAGCCCCGCATGCCAATTTTGACTTCCGAGCCCCTTTAAAGCAACCAGAGCCCAAAAAATTGTTTTTATTAGCAAAAAACGATGTAACTAAAGATGCATTATTGGCGACCTGTTGCACGCTCTGCCGTTGGCTAGCTCCGAAACATCTCTTTTTCTAGGCCGCTCCGTTCGACGTGGAGTGATGACAAGACCCTGATGCAGTATATGAATAATCAGAATTGTTTCGAATGGCACACCGCACAGCTCGACTACTTTGGAAAATTCCTCAGGGCCTATAATGGTAAGCTAATGCCGTTTTTGATTTACACCAACAAACATCTTCAATTATACTTAAAAAAACCTCACTTTTTTCACTTTTTTCTGAAACATTTTTTGTGAAAATCTCAAGTTCGGAATGACAACGTCGTGATTGCGTTATGCCCTTTTTAGCCTTGATTAAATGATATTTTTAATAGTCGAAAACGAATTATAAATTAATGATAATGTTTCATAACTCCAAGCGGCTGAAGTTTCTCTTCTTAATTTGACCTTTAAGGACTCCAGAAACACGATTTTAATTATAGTCCAGAAAAATTATTAAAAGATTTTCTTAAATTAAAAAGGCAGGAAGGTTGATTTTTTGGCTTTAAAAAGCGTGGTTGTTTTGGTTCAATGGCTTCGTTGGTGAATGACTTCTAATCCGGGGTCTTACCTTTTCCTCGTTGAAACATATTTTTTTATTAACGACTTTTTCGCTCTTATTCTACTCAAATTAGAATAATTTATACTTTTCGCACATTTCGTTTAACATTATACTAATATAAGCATTCTTTTTATTAGCTATGTTTGGATTCTAGTGGTCGCATAGATCCATAAGATACCCCCACCGTAAGTGGCCCTGTTAAAACGTAACAGCATCGTAAACATTTAAATTAATAAATTGAGCTGTAGTAAATTTAATCTGTTTTAATAAATTAAAAATCTAATTAAAAAAAATAGGTTCAATTTACCTGACTTAGTTCAGGCACCCCAAAATTCGTGATCAACTGGTCCACCGCACCCTGTCACGATGATCCGAATTTGTTGTACCATGCTGATGAGGATTTCTATGTAAGTTGGCAAAACGTTTGGCAGTTATTTACTACTGCCTAAAGGATCTCTGCAAGTCTGCCTGGGAAAAATGCACGAAATGGTCCCAAAAATTTCAGTGTTTTATCAGTTCGTCTTGTTCTTTTCCTATTCTTTTTCTTACTGGTATACAATCAAAATCTAAAAATCTAAAAAAATCAAAACTTGCGGTAGGACCAACATGTCGCTAATCGCCTCGGCTAGCCTGGTCCGGAATGAAGAATCCGGAACGCCTATGATTTAAAAAAATAATTAATCAAATTAAATTAATGTAAAATTAACAACGGATAGAATAGTATAAATTCTCGATGCAGCCCATTGGGTATTACGGTGTGCTGGTCATCATCAGCTCCCAGGACTTTGGAAACATTTTTTACTAATTTTGCACAAATTTTTTTCGTTCTTTTCTCTCCAATCCTTATTCAAACGATTTTTCTGCTAATAGTTTAGGTTCTCTGCAGGATACTTTAAAACTTTTTAGTACCATTCGAAAAAGTGAGAAATGCTCATAAGACCGCATTAAAACCTATTTATTTACACAGTTATTTAACGAAATCTAAAATATACTCGTAACTAGAACTGATTGAGAATACATTGATTCGAAAAACATGTTACATTATAGGCATTCGTAGTGCTACTTTTCATTAATCCGTTGCGTATAGTCACTTCGAAAATCTCCTCGAAATCATAATTTTCTATGCAAATGTTTGCTATTTTTTTGCTAAAGTCCGTATCAGGTTTCCAGCTAGATGGTTTTTTGGCGAAACTGTTTTCAGCGAAAGCGTTTTCCGGCGAGATCGATATTATCTCCGTTAAGGGTATTAAAAAAGATTTTGCAAATTCTTTTTCATGGCCATTTCATTGTGATCATCAGCGTAACCCGATACCAATTCCAGCTCCAGAAGTTACAAAACATATTTTTTTTCTAAGCCTGCGCGCATCTCATCTCAAATATTCTCTGCTAGCCTGCCCTTCGGTTGACCCAAAACTTGAGAGGGGAGGCTTTTGTATCCTGAATTTATTTAAAGGAACATATATGCCAAGGCATTGTAGAATTCCGGACCAAATCGGCTCCAAAATGCTCAAAAACACATTTTTTTAGAATTTCCTCGAAAAGCATGAGAAACGACTGCAGAACGCGTTCATCTTCTTCATGGGCGACCACGGGCCACGGTATGGGGTGGTAAGTTTTAATTGCGTTTAAATCTTCATTTCGATGTTTTTAAATTCATAAACAAATTAAATTGATAGTCAGGGGCGTCGTTTAAGTAACAAACGATAGTAAAATGTAAGGTGACACTTGTAAGCCAGGTAAGTAGCCCCCAGAACAGTAAAAACCTTGAAGGAAAATGCAAATATAATGCCATAAACTTTACAACATCAGTTTTACAAATGTATGTTGCGCGAATTTTTTAGTTTTAAAAGTGTCCAGAGGGACCAATTGGCATCGGCAAACATTTCAAACCAGTAGATTCCATTAGCAACCATTGAAAAAGTATTTATCCCCGTAATCCGAAAATAAATCTCTTACATAATCTCGAAAATGCCTAAAAGTTTAAGATCCGTTTCTCGGAAAAAAGTTATATTTCAAGAAAACTTCCATAAAAAATTCACCATTGTCCACTATTGTAGTGTTAACACGTGGTCTTATTATTTCGCCGTTCAAACAAAAAAAATATAATGCGGATACCGTTATATTAAATGTTTTAATAGGGCTTGACGTTGTAATAAAATTTGATTTTAAGATTAAACTTTAATAAATCAGGATGAGAATCTGTGAAAACATATGTTTCAATAAATTTTGTTGTGAAGAATTGGCATGGTCTGTCAATGCAGTATGCGAAGGTAAAAATATCTTGCGTAAAAACATGAATTCTCGAATAATTTTAGTTTCAATTTGAAAATTTCAAACAGTGTTATTAAATCGCTTAAAAAAGCTATACGAAATCGTTTTCCAGGTGGCCCGGGCGGAAATGGGAAAGCGCGAGATCAACAACCCGTTGCTGCACATATCTGTACCTCATTGGCTACGTAACAATACACAGGTACGGTTTTTACGGTATATTCTAATTTTCTTTGGGGCATAGGCATTTACATGTAAAGCTTTTCTGCACGACAATAATTATCTATCAGACGCGCGAAAATTAAAATGTTTCTTCTCAAGCGGCTCTTCAAAAAGTTTTTCATGGTTTTGGTTGTCGTAGCTTTTTCGTTAATTTCGTATGAAGGAACACGGGGTCCAAAACGTGAACCCTGATCCTACTATATATAAAAAAATAGTGTCTGTGTGTTTGTGTGTGTGTGCCACTTTGCATCCACTTCCGTCTGTCTGTCCGGAGGATATCTCAAGAAGGGACGGGTATTAGGCTACGTATAATACGTCATTAGGTGCGTAATGGTCTAGGGATGACTGCACACATACCAGATTTTTAAAAATTAGCCATTTTCGCTATTAAATTTAAGTTTTTGTAAAAACCTCTTTGTTAGGAATAATTAGCATAGAGGGGAAGTAGGTGGTCGCCTATATAAAGAGGCAGAAACGGTTGTTTTGATTTTTTTGTCTTCTGATTGAATGGAGGACAATTATGCAAAGCGAAAAATAGTATGGGGTCCGAGACGGGGCCAGGGTTGAAAGGTCGCGAAGCGGCTTTTCAACCCTGGTCCTCTTGAAAAATCATACAAGAAATTATTTAGATTGTTTTTTATTATTATTTACACACGTGAACCCGCAATTATAAAATTTGGCAAGCTAGCAGAGACGTAAAATTCGGATTAAACGGAACGGAACGGTTTAAAGAAAACACCAGGAATTGATAAAATTTATTATTTATTAGATTAAATTATTTCACGCAACATACATTTGTAAAACTTAAATCTAGTATATTAATTTTAGTTAACCAAAAACATGGAGGAAAATTCGCAGCGCATGATTCTACAGTATGACATCTACGAGACGCTGAAGGATATATTACGGGTAATTACTAAAGACATTTTACGTATTTTTCTCGTTAAAAGGTATTCTGCCATTACGTCTTCGGTGAGACAGGAGTCTCAAAAACATATTAAAAGTTTTAAAATAGTTTGCGTCGACTTAAAAACACTTAGGTTCAAAACATTTTTTCGTGAAAAAGGAATCTGGAAAAACAAATGTTTCGCAAAATTGTGGTGCTGGCGCATAGTGGGCGACGATCATTCTAGTCCAAGCTTCGCCCTTGAGTCCATTAAATTCGAGAAATTGGTAGGAATTAAATTATTCATCCCATTTTCAGGGAGCCTGGAGATGGCAAAAAGACGAGCTAGCATAAATTGTTGGGCACTCCGTATAAAGATCGGAAGATCGGGGCAAAATCTGTTGTCAAAAAACCTTGAAACTCATAATTTTTTATCGTGTCGAAAAATCATGAATTGGTTGGAGCCGCAGCACGTTCATCCGTATTAGCCAACCGAATCGGCGCGTAGCCATTTGGGAGGCTGAAACATATTTTATCTTTTTATGAATTTTTGTAGAACTTATTTTGATCTTAAGTGTGGATCCGATTGCGATCAGTTTGTGGAAATGAATTGTGTCGACATCATTTGTTCAACATCATTTTGTCGCAGTGTCGAAATTTCAATGCGCTAAAATTTCAGTTTTCGAAATGCTCGAGATGAATAATCGAGACTCAAAAGGCCTGAAATGCCGACAGATTGGCTTCTCGTCAAAACGAAATTTCGACAAATGGCAATTTCGACAAAATGAAGTTTCGACTCAGATTTCCGAAAAATTTGATATGTCGAAAAAAGGAAATAAGCCATGGGATCTATCGCCGGTAAAATCTGTAACTATTCCTTGCCCGCTCCTCGAAAAATTTTTCTCGAACCGCCGGAATTCCAACAAATCAAAGCCTAAGAAAAATCATGTTTCACGAAAGGATGTAGTTGCTTGATAACTGGGGCGGACAATGCAATGACGTAGGAAAAGCGTGATCCTCAGACCTCAACGGGGTTCCGCCAAAAAACACCATGTGGAATAAGTCTGACATCTCAATAGGGATGGGGCAATGTGACAAGCAAGCTAGCAGAGATTCTTGGCGGTTCCGGGGCACTTATTTTAGGAGCCGCAGGGTCAGCGCGATTTTAAATTTTCTACATTTGTAAGAAAAATGGGTCTCAAGGCCGAGTAAATTTTATGGCCCGTCTTTTAGACTAGTGGTAGCAGCATTACAAACAAAATAAGAAATTCAAGTTATACGGTTCTCCTAAAAAATCGACCTAAAACGAAAAAAACGAAAGGGCTCAAGTCTAGGAAACCCCCCCCCCCAGCCGACTTTTCAACTTTTCTACCTTCCTTATTTTTATTTTTCGATACTTTTTTCGACTGAACTGCAATGTAGTCTTACTAATTAGCCTACGGCGAACATTTTAGTATACTTTAGAGCTCGCTAGCACAAAGCGGGGCCGAGATACAAAAGTTGGTGCCGGCTGGGGGTGGTTTCTAGACACTTACCAACGAAAGAAGAAAAAGTCAAAAAGCCAATGCTTGAACTAGCCAATTAATCACAGCCCGGACCTGTTGGGCTTGAAACATTTATTTGTTTTTTTGGAACGCGAATACCTCAGCGAAACAAATTAAAGGGACCGGCAAGGCATGGCTATGGATTTATCATCAAGCTGGGACTGCCTGGTATGCAGGCTAAATTTTAGCTGCCCGATTGCCCGGATTTTTAGTCCCCTAGCAAAAAAAATGTTTTAAAAATGGAACCCAGCGGCGATTTTCTGGCCATGCTATTGAGCCATTTCTTTTTCGCATATAAATTAATTAATGTCGTGTTCCACAAATTCAACGTTTTTACGAAAACATTCCTGCATGTATTGTCATGCTTAACCGTTGAAAATTTCAGTACGCTCCGGAAAGCAACTTCACCGACTTCGCGTACGTCGAACGGGAAAAGGACAACGACAACAATGGAACGTCATTATTGCGCCCGTTCCCGGAACCGCTACGCCACCGTAATTGCCGGAATATCGCCGTCCACACCGCGTACTGTATGTGCGAATTCGACAAGGAGCTCGTTTAGTGAGTTTTTCTATTTGATTTTTGTTGGTTAGGAAATTAATTTAATCAGAGTTAAAATGGAGCTTTTGCATTATCGGGGGGGTGTTTCTAAACTCTCCTTACGATTGCGAGACGTAAAAACTTTAGCTGTGATTTTTAAGAAAGATTTGTAAGCTTTTTCATCAAAATGGCCATTTGAGCCAGTGAAATCTACAGGGTGTCCCAAAAAAAACCCCCCCTACCTAGCGGTCCGCAGTCGATTCCGATTTTTACGATTTAGGTATCTATCGAAAGCTCTCGAAAAGGCGAGAAAACAAGGAGGGTTGAATTTCTTAATTAAGCTTTTTTATTTGCTAATTTTATGTCCAAAAACCATGAAAACTGCTGATTTATGCAAGATCTGCATGCTAATTGCGAAATTCCTGATAAAAAATTCTCGGCTTTTTAGGAAAACCTGCAATATCGATAGAATCAGATTAAATCGTAGAAAACGAAACCCGCTTGTTTTCTCGCCTTTCCGAGAGCTTTCGATTGGTATAAAAATCATTCCGATCCGATCCGATTGACGGCCTCTAGAGGGGGGGTTTTTTTGGGACACCCTGTATATAAGGCAGGATAAAAAGCAACTGCGGACACATCAATATCGGTCCATCAAAGCAAGACGACACGTGTTTTTTTTAAACATATAATTTTCCAATCGCCGGGTGTTTCGCAAGCTAGCAGAGATTCTTTGGGGAAAGGGCTTTTTATATGACAGAACTTTTTAGGAATATACAAATAATAAAAAACTCAGACCTTTAACCTGCAAAAAGCTTTTCAAATCGAACAACGATTAAATATTCAATACGAAATTATGAAATTCTGTTATGGAAACTACAACAAAAAATTTAAAACATATAAATATTTATAAAATTGGTAAAAAGTCTAAAAACCGGGTTTTTTCGCATTATCGGGGGTGAGGAACCAATTTTATCTACAAATCCAAAAATGCCTAAAAACGTAATAGTTGACCATATTTGAGGTGGAAAAACTATCTAAAAACTTTTAAAAATCCTTAACAATTCGATATTTTGGCCGAAAATCCGCCATTTTAGATCGAAAAATCAATATTTTTCCCTTTTTTAATAAAAATTTATAAAGTTTGTACGTTTAGGGAAAGCAAAAATACAGTTTAGAAACACCTTCTTTTCAGATTCATATTCAAAAATTTATGCTAAAAAAAGTGCCCCCGCCCCCTCTTAATGCAAGCAAACCCAAAAGGTATAATTTATTAACGTTATGGATCCTTGTGATTTAACGGGTTTTTTAGGTAAAAAAAATTTATGCAGAAGCGCTCAAAAAAATAGCCTGGAGAAATCATAAAGAGGGCAGGCTGGCAGAGATTATTTGGAAATTTGTGTTTCTGAATTACTGATAATTACTGAAAGAAAAGGACATGGGAATAACAGCCCGGCGAAGTAAGCCAGATTGGGCCTTTTTTGAAACATAAGATTTCCCATCGCTTTTTGATCGCTTTTTTTCTTGTCTTGAGCAAGCGAGCAGAAATTATTTGGGAAATCCCGACATTCGAAATAACTGTAATTTTTAAAAAAATGGAATCGAAACTACCGCCAAAAATACGTGGGTATTATGACCAACCTACAAGACGGGAATAATTTAAATAAATACTCACTTGTTTCTATTTAGCAATGAAACATTGATCAAAGACGCGAAAATGGTCGTCATCCAGGAAATTAACGCCATTTTCCGCCAATTCAACGTCACCAATTTTTGCGCCAATCACAAATTGGACCAGGTAAAATCGGTTTTCTAATTTTTGTTATTTTGGGATTATTTTCATATTTTATAAATTTTTAAAATCGATTGAAACCAGCGTTTTCTAGATAATCTCCATAAAGGGCTTCATCCCGACAAAACGGACTCGAATGTTCGAAGTATTCTTCCGGTCGACCCTTGGCAAAGGCGAATTCACTGTGGTAAGGTAGTTTTAAAGTTGTATAATTGTCATCACAATGAGGCAAACAACGAGAATTTTGAAAGAATCACAGAAAGAGAAAATATGTTGCATCACTTCGAATAGTCGGAACAGAAAACGGCCTAGCAATTCATAAACGGGAATCTGTCAAAACCTCGGAAGTCAGGACCTCGATAATCAGAATCCTCTAATTTTCAGAATCTCGAACTTTCAGAATCTCGAATTTTTATAATCTCGACATTTCCATGGTTTAAATCAGCATTAAAGGTTCCGGAAATTGCACGCCTACGCACTAAATCCAGCATAGGCATATTTCGAGATTCTAAAAATTCGAAATTATGAAAATTCGAGATTCTGAAAATTCGAGATTTTGAAAATTCGAGATTATGAAAATTCGAAATTTTGTAGGTTTCGTAAAAAATGGCTTACAAACACTTCCTCGATTTTTCATAGAAAAAGCGGATCCGAAGGCAAAAAAGGGTTCCTTAAATTTGATTTAACTTAAATATATGGCTTTTAGGTGCTAAAGCTGGACGATTCGGGGCGACTAGTGCGTGCCGGTGAATTCCTCCGGCTGAATAAGTACGGCGACCAGGCGGATTGTATCGCTGCCCTCTACGCTGATCTACGCCCCATTTGCTACTGCAAAAAGCAGAAAAAGCCGAAGCCGAAGAATTAACACAATAGTTTTTATTATTTTATGAATCTCCGATATTTTATTTGTAGCTCGACGGGTTCTAATTATACATTGCGGGTTTTTGTTGGACGCCTTTCCATGACGATTTAAAGTTAAAAGCTTTTAAATTAATGTGTTTCAGAAATTTTTGGGAATCCTGTTGGTTTTTGGCTATTAATATAGATATTTACCCGATCCGATAAATATATGAAATTTACCATGGAAAATGCACATTATTCGTTTTCTACTAAAATCAAGCTAAAGTTAGTTATATTTCATCTTTTCATCTTTTTAATGGATGCCTTCCCCTACACCTTCGCCTTTCACTTCCCCTTGCACCTTCAGATGTGAAAGTAACATGTGTCAAAAATTTTTGAAATCATGGTGGACTTTTCAATATTAATTACACTAAGTCGGATAAACAGACCAAAATTGCGGCGAAAATGGACGAGGGTTGATGTTTCTTACATAATAAACGCGGTGCCTTTAACTTACTTTAAAGACGAACCAGTTTGAGGTTTGCAATTCAAATGTTTTAGAAATTTTCAAATATAATTTTGCCTTTCTTCTTTTAATAAACAGAGAATTTTGAACTGATTTTTATAGACATATCACAGACAGACAGCTATTACAGATCCGCCATCGATCGAGGTCAGCGACTATTCTTAAATCGATAGTTCTTGCTAGGATTCTGACACATCCTATTTTCGCGCAACTTTGCAAAGACCCTCCCGGTGGGTGCTGTTACCTAAAACGCGGATCAACGCAACACTACCGTATACCGGTGAGACGCGGTTGTTTGAGGCCCGATTTCGAAAAAGGTATCAGAAACTCGCCGAACTTGAATTTTTTTGATCGATCAATCTTTAAACTAAATAATCAATTCTTTATTTTTTTTATTCATCCGATATCGGCATCAATTAATGCTCTTCCACGAAACCAAAAGCCCAGAAAATAGGGGATACCGGCGGAAAACGGTTCATTTCCTATTCTCTATCGGAAATACGCCGGTTGATGAAACTCACAATGCCGAAAAGTCTAAAAATAGTAATTTAGAAGCGTTCTAGAATGGTAAAACCATTTTTTTCGAGACTAGGCGCAGTGAAAACTCCTACAATGGCTTTTATCCACCCATCTGCTCTTCCAAGTTCCCGATTTTTTTTTCTTATTCCCAGTTATAACGCTCAAATTTAGGTTTCGGCAGTATGGACGAGAAGCGCGAGAAGCGCGACGCCCTACTGACGGAATATTATGATGACCTCCCTCCTCGCCAGCAGCTCGGCTTGATACGAATGATGTCTCGCCTTCAAGAGCCCTTTCCCAGCGCCATCAGACAGAGAAAGATCCTGGTTTGTCGCGATTTTAGTTAGCTAACCACATAGTTTCATTTCAGCTGCCAAGAAATGACATCTTTCACCAGCCCGTCGCGTTTCCCAAGGAACTTCTGTGGCTCCAGAAAAACATTGATTATTGTAAGTTTTGGGGGTTTTTTCAAGACCTTCTTTTTCGTTTAATAACATTTTAGTCTTTCCTGCATTTGGTTCTATTGAAAGCGGCACAAAGTGTTTGAAACTTTTCGTTGGCTTTATTTGATCGGAAAAGCGTTTTTCAAGATTTAATAGCAGCTTGTAACCTTTTACGTTCGGGAATAGTTTAAAACGCTTGCTGTTTTATCTTTGTAGAGAACCTAGAAAAGTAATTGGAAAACGTAAATTTTGATCGAAAATTTACTATTTTTCATCTTAAAAACGTTTTTTTTTTAGTTTTTAAAAAAATCTTTCTAGCTTTTTACCTTTGGGGAATACTAAAAACATCTAGAAACATCTCGTTTGCGAATTGCAATTCCCCCTGGAAGTATGTTTTTCAGTCGGAACCTACTAACTCCATTTTAGATCGAAATAGAGGCCCACCGCTCTCCCTGCGCCACGAGATGATCCATAATCAAGCACCTCCGAAATTGGCACGCGAAGATGCGTATCCGCCACGTAAACCTGTTTCCATAGCAAACCTAATGATTATTTAGTGCCTAAACCAAATGCCACGACTATTGGCAGCGCTAACAAGACGACGACCTACCCACAAAAACGTATCCATTATCGATCCATCGGGTATTTGTTTTCTTGCTTGTAAAACTGAGGTTTTTAGGCTGACCGCTACGCGAAAGTATGCACTCAGTGCGCCGTCTGAAATCGAGCCGACACATCGATTCATTCGACAACAGCCACCAGTTCCGTCGCCCGACTCCGAAGTTAAGATTAACCAAGTAATAGAATTTACTTCTTTTTAAAATAGATGTTTTCGTCTTATCGTGTGTATCGCGATTTTTGGCTAGAAGTACAGACGAGCCTAGCATCCTTATCGCCGGTATTTGAATCGTGTTTTTCGTAAAATTTCTAGATGTTCTTTGATCATGTTGTTTTGAAAGATGTTCTTTCTTAATTCTAAACGGAAAACTATCTCCGAAACTAAAACTCTAAAAAGCTTTAAAAAAATTTCAGAAATTTGTAATTTTTGTCGGTCAATTGCTTTCTAATAGGAATCGTAAGGTTTTTACTTTTGGAACAGTAGAAAATAGTCTAGGAACGATCCATCGATGTAAATTACAAATATTTTATTCTAAGAAAAAATTCCCTCCCCCGATAATGCCAAAGCCCCTAGAAATATGATATTTTTAGGAACCAGGCGACTTCGTCTGCTGCACCGTCAAGCATTGCCTTTCCGGATCGTTCAAGTGCGAGAAGAAGCGGAACTGGGAGGAAGCCCAGGATATCAGCAGGGCCCAGGCAGGCTTGAAAGAGCCGAAGTAAGAGATTTTCTTCTGTCTTCACGTTGTTTTTTTCAGGGATGAACCCTTTGATGAAGCTAACATCATTATGGCAGACACGGCGGCTGGCGGCAGTCTGGAAGACGTTAAACCGGAGCCGCTGGATTTGGATGCGTAGGTTTTCATTGTGCAGCTTTCATGGTTTCTTTAGCTTGCCTCCACCGGCGCCGGAGAACGGTGAGAGCGTGTATCGTGTTAACGCGATGCATCCGCTGTCGTATGAGCCATCGGTAGGATTTTTAGTTAATTACGGGCTGTCGAGAAGGCCACGAAGATCGGCCGAGCTTGATGATCGAGCCGCATTCGAAAGCTCGCAAAAAGCCACAAAAATTTACTCGAAAACTAAAAAGGACCCGCAACGTTTTTGGCACTCGGCCGTTGGCAGCTGCATTTTTTGGCAGGCGATTGAATTCTGGAAAATCCGGAAAGCGGAAACAGTTTATTTTGGTCCTTTTTGCGCACTTTCGAATGGCATAAAAAGGATTCGTTCCGTGCTTCCTCGTACGACTAGAAAGTTTATCTAGGGATAGTATCCGAATGTCGAGATTTTATAATGTTGATATCTCATAATGCCGGAATTTCGTTAGACATGACTTTACGGTGGAATTCCCAATATCGCTAACCCGAAATCCTACTATATATAAAAAAAATAGTTCCTGTGTGTGTGTGTGCATTTGCATGCAACTTCCGTCAGCGTGTTCCAGCAGTATCTCAATATTGGGGGTGTTTAGGGGTACGTTTTATACGTCATTAGGTGCGTAATGGCCTGGAGATGGCTGCACACTCATAAAATTACCAAAAATTTGCTGTTTTCGATGTTAAACTTAAGTTTTTTGTTGAAAAATCGAGAACCCTCTTTGTTAGGAAATGATTAGCATACGCCGGAAGTTGTGGTAGCCTATATAATGGGGTAGAGAGCGGGCGTTTCTCATTTTTGTCATAGAAAATCGCGAGAATTATGCATAGTGAAGAATAACATGGGTTCCGACGGGGCCAGGGTTGAAAAGTCGCGAAGCGGCTTTTCAACCCTGGTTGACATTATTAAATTTCGAAATTATGACATTTCGGCAGGATGATTTGCAATATTTTGAAGGAAAGCCGTTTAGGGCGCCTATACAGAAGTTTTTAGCCGGACCTGCCTCCAAATGATATGGCCTACGCGATGACGAGAATCTGCCGGGGCTGCGATTTGGTGAGCCCTTTTTCAGCGGCGATTAATCCCGAAATTTAGCCGCTATCGCAAAAGGAGTTCTCCGCACACTTCTTGCTGATCTCGCAGGGCGTCAAGTGCCCGGAAGCCAAATGTAACGACGCGCTCATCAACTGCCCGTATCCGGATGTAGGTTTTCCGTATTTCGGAGTTAATTTTTGAATTTTTAGTGCATCGCAAAAGGCTTCGGCTCGATGACAAATTACGCCAACCACCTCCGACTTCACCACGGCCGCCCGACCTTCATCCGCGAATTTGCGTACACGGATATCGCTGAATATCGGGTAATTTTTGCAACGATAAAATAAAGTTTAATTTTAGACGCATTTGAACGAAATCCGCGCGATGGGCGACTACGAGAACGATAAACACACGAAGCTGAGCGGTCGGACGTACCCGTGCCGCTACACACATGACCCGAATGATAGCGGTATTTTCTGTTCTGGTATATCCAAATTTCTATATTTAGATGACGAATTTGACGACTGCGACCTGAGTCATAAACAGCCGATCGCGTGTGGCGCCTTCTACCACGGGGCCATCGAGTCACGGAATCTTACCGGAAGGTAACGAAATTTCAGCTTGACCTGTCGTTTGTAGAAAATATCGTGTGTTTACCGGCTGTTTAGATGGGTTTTTTTATTCGCCAAAAAGTAGGCAAAAGTAGTATAAATTTAAAAATTCGGAATTTTAATCGTTTTTGCTCCTTTTTCGCCGAAGTTTTGTGAATTTCCGACATCGACAATGCGGAAAAGTAGCTATCCTACTATATATAAAAAAAATAGTGTCTGTGTGTGTGTGTGTGTGTATGACACTTTGCATGCAACTTCCGTCAGCGTGTCCGGAGGATATCTCAAGAAGGGAAGGGATGAAGGGGGCGTATGATACGTCATTAGACGCGTAATGGCCTGTAGATGACTGCACGCATATCAGATTTTTCAAAATAGTTTGTGCAACATTAAAATTAAGTTTTTCCTTAAAAATCGGACGTCCTCTTTGTTAGGAGAAAATTAGCATACGCCGGAAATGAGAGTAGCCTATATAATCGGGGAGAGGACGCGATTTTCATTTTTTGACATAACAGTGCGGAAGGATTATGCAAAGCGAGGGATATCATAGGGTTGGACGGGGCCAGGGTTGAAAAGTCGCGAAGCGGCTTTTCAACCCTGGTACGTAGCTTAAAATAAACGTAAAAGGCTACTCTAGATTTATTTACATAGTGCCGAGTCGACCCCAGATGCTTTTTGAATACTAAAAACCATACAAAACTTTCTTTAACTTCAGGAATTGTCTATTTTGATAATTTCTGGCCTTTTTGCATCAGTTTTGAGGATTTTCCTGTATTCAAAAACGGCTAAAATTAATTCAACTTAAACTCAAGGTCATTTTTCAAAATGTCGAAATTTTGTTTTTAGCCCGATCATCCACCTTCGCGTTTGCAACTTGCATATCCATGGGAAGATGAAGATCCCGAGGGCACTTCGTCACCGTATCCGGCAGCTCGCTCGTTTTATGCCGATTCCGATTCTCATAGTCATCATAAGAGGTTCCTCTTTCTTGTCGTTCCGTCGATACAGCTTTTACAGCCGAATCTGGGAAATATGCCGGCGAAGGAGGGCTGCTGCAACAAATTCTCGAATTGGACGCGTTGAAAATCGGACGCATCATCCACAAAGGCGGGGTAAGGTGTGACGCGGATTAGAATTTTTTTGATTTTTGGCGTGATCGATCGTCCGAAAACCCTGGAAATACCTAGACCTTTTTGTAATTTAAATGAGTACCCAGCAATTTTTTTTTTTTAGATTGTCGCGCCGGATTTCGATCCGGCTTCGTACAAACTACCGCCTCTGAAGGTGTTCGAGCTTCTCCGGATGCCGGAACACGTCGGGCCATCCCACATCCGGAACCAATGCGCAGAATGGGTCGTAAATCGCAAGAATCAACCAGTGATGAACTATCGGGCGCTGATGCCGGTTGATAATAAAAGAGGTACTGTATTTGAAAATTGGCTACTTTGTTACTTGTACTCGTCAGTAATTATAATGCATTTCGTAGTGTTTTTAGTAGTTTTTTATTGCTTGTAAGTTTCATAGAATACTAACGGGTTCTTTTGCATTATCGGGGGGACAAGCTTTTGTATGTAAATCCCCTTTTCTAATATAAATAGACCAAATTTTCTTAACGTTTTTGCTATTCCTAGGCGTAAGGACTGCTGATTTTCATTAAAAATTCAAAAATTAGGGTTTTTGACCACGATTACGACCAATTAAAACAAAAAATTTTGGTATTTTTTTATTGTTCTTCCACATGAAATGTGGAGTTTATAAAACTTTTAAAGTAGTTCCTATCAAGCTACTAGGAATTTATAGGCTTTTGGAAAAAATTAGGTTCGCCCAGCGATAATGCGGAAGGTCCTAATAAAGCTTTTATAAAAATTTGAGCTTTTTGCCTTTTTTGTGTCATGTTTCATAAATTTCTGTCCCGAAAGTCAAAATTTTTCCATAATTACATGCTGCATTTTAGATGCATTTATACTTAAAACGACCTGAGCGTTTATAAAATTCGTATGTATTTCCATATGATTCCTAGGCAAAAATTAGGTCCCCCGCTAACGCACAAGAACCTAAAATGATGTGTATATTTTTCTATTCGGTTCTTTTAGCCCCGGTCCTGGTCGACAGGGGCTACCATCGAAAGAACAAGGAGCCGTTCGTCATCAGCAAATTCTTGCGCCGCCAGCTGAAAGCCCGAAAAACCGTGAACACCATCCGAATCATGGCGAAGGAGGCCACGGTTTGAACGTTTCTGAATTCCTCATCGTTTTAACTTAGCTCGAGCGGCTGCTGAAGTACCCCGACGAGGACCTGCACCGATTCTCGCAGCTGATCAACAAGTGCTACTTGGCGTGGAGTGCCGTGCATCAACGGGCGATGAGCAAGCAGTGCGTTTTTTATTTCTTCTCTTAATGTCAAAAATCATGACGCAAAAATTTATAATGTCGAAATGTAATTAGGTCAGGATTCAGAATGTCGGCCTTTTTTGTTGGGTTTTTCCAATTCTTATGTAAATGTCGACATTTTGAAAGTGACCCGGGCTTTTTGCGTTGAAATAGCGCTCAAAAACAACGCGGCGTTTTCTAACGAATTTTGAAACATTATTGATTTTTCGGAAGGTATACGAGCTAATTAGTATCATATCCTTAACATTCTAAAATTGTATTTGGCTGCTTTTTTGGAAAGTAATTTTTTGACCAAAACACCTTTTTCTAAAATTCATTTGTGAAACTATACTTATTTTCGAAAAAATCTTTTACATTATCGGGGGTGGGGGGGAACGAATTTTTCCCGTTAACCCACCTTAAGAAAAATTTTTTTTTTTTTAACTTTTTTTCCCCTTTGAAGAAAAAAAGGGAAAAAAAAAAGAGGAGGGCGGAAGCAAAAAAGACACCTTCAATTTAACCAAAAAAATCACTTTTGAAATTCCTACAACTGTAATAGCAAGTGTTTTTAGTAAAATTTATCTAAATTGTAGAAAATATACCTCAAACTTTCCAATTTTTGCGCTAAGAAAATGAATTCTTTTTTAATTTTCACCCACAAAATGTGTAAGTTTTTTGCGGTTAGGGATAGCAAAAAACCTAGAAAACACCGCCTTTTTCTTTTTCTTCTTCTAAATTTTTCTAAGGAACTAATTCTGTTTTTTTTCGGAAAAAGGACCTTTGTAAAAGGACTTTTCGAAAATTTTTCTGGCATCTACCGTAATCTCTATATCCCTTTTTAGTGCGCTGCCGAAAAGATCGACGCTCACTGGGCTAAGTCAGATGCCAGAGCCGCGGTTCGACAGAGGGCTGCTGGAGATGTTAGTCGACGACGAGGACGATGACGTTCCAACATACTCCGAGACCGACCCCTGGACACCGCCCAAAGTATCGATGCGGAAAGAAGTTGTCGAAATCCGCGTCAAGCAGGAGCCGATGTCTGCAGAGGATGAATAGGTTTATTTCGCCGAATTTGATCTCGTTGAGACGGATTGGAAGGTACTTGTGCATTATCGGGGGGATCTTGCCTTAGAATCGGGGTTTTCAAGACAAATCGAGAATTTTATGACTTTTTCAAGACGTAAAAATTCGTAAAAATGCAAAACTATGGATTTTATCAGATAGACTATTTTACTATCATCAAACACAACAATCCAAATATTTTTAAGAATGGAAAAATATCGCACTTCGAGCAAAGTTACCGATTTTGACGAAAATTTCGAGTTTTTCCAAGTTAAGTAGTTAAAATGTATTAGAAGCTACCAAAACACTCACTATTTCTGGACTTTTATGAGAAAAATTGCACCCCCCCCTCGATAATGCACAAGAAACAATTGGAATCATCAAAAATCACTCATTTTGATTTGTGAATCCATTACGTTGTTAGATTCTCTGTTTGCTTTTTCCGACACCTTTTAGAATTTGCCTTCTTGATCATTTTAATTCTAATTCAGCCATCACAGTACTATCGATAAATATCTATTACGTATGCCAATTGCATGGCAGAATTCCTCTCATTACCCCCGTCATTTTGCGCATTCCTCATTGCTCGCATGTGATCGATTTTGATCTATTGCTTCCTAAAGATCAGGCTTCATCTTTTCACCACTTCTAGGCTAAAAACACCTCCTTAACCGGAATAGTATTAATAAATACTTTTTACACAATTGTTCGATACAGAATTGTCGATTTGATAGACCAGGGGTTTCCAATGAATTTGTTGGATTGCGCCGAATTTTTTTGACATTGGAATATGTGTTTTAGAAATTTGCCACTGCACCCTGTATTTTTCGATATTAATGGCGAGCGTGATAGGTATGATACTAAAGAATTGCACCGAACTGAACGTTGGCTTGTCTCGAACGTATTTTAATTATCGCGGAAAATTAAATATTTCAAGAAGATTTGCTAGATTTTCACCCATTTTTTTTCCATTACGTATACCATATTTGATGGCAGCATTCCTCTCGTTACCCCTATCAATTTAACGCATTCCTTATTGCTCGCTTGTGATCAAGTTTGATCTATTGCTTCCTAAAGTTCAGGCTTCATCTTTTCACCACTTCTAGGCTAAAAACACCTCTTTATCCTGAATAGTATTAATAAATACTTTTTACACTATTGTTCCAATTGGATCTGTGGATTTTCTCGATAGACACGTGCTTTCTAAAATATTTTTTTGGAATATGTGTTTTATAAATCTGCAAATTCATCTTAGATTTTTCGGCATTAATAGCTAATATCTGCGATTATTTTTCTGTGACCCCATTTTAATCCTGGAAAAGTAAATGTTTTACGGATGCCGGAATCTTTTCGAAATTTCGTCCGATAACTCTATCTGTGGCTGGGTTGGAATTACACAAAAGTACCGCATTTTTGTCGTGAAACTGTTGATTTTTCTCCTTGGACCGAACACATATTGTTCTTCGATCCGTGGCTATGGCTACGGAGTATTTTGAAACTCTTATTTTTACAAGCATTCCATTCTGCTTTTGTCGTTGTTAGTTTTGAAAACCACGATTTTTAATTTTTCATTAGCCTGATCCAACTATGTGGCTAACAAAAGTTTTCCAAATCTCCATGTTTCATCATAATTTAAAACCGCCGAAAAGGTATGATTTAATTGGCACCATTGGGTAGAATTACACTAGCGGGTTTGATAATTGGAAGCAAGGTAAAATAATTTTATCTTTGTATTGAAGCCCGTTTTTCATAGATTTTTTTTGTCGACATCTCGTCACGCGTCTGTTTTTGTGTCGGCTTTCTCCTTTTGCACGGCTTCATATTCCTCCAGCCATAATGGCCGCATCAGCCAGTGCATCGCACTAAAAGAACAAAGTTTAAAGTCGTTTTAGCATTTAAAAATCATCAAAAAATGGGACGGTTGTTGTTACAATTAGAAACTACTATACTGATTTTTATAAATTAGTTTAATTACGTGGGGCACGAAAATTTAAATAAAACTAGGCCCTTAAGCGAAGCCTTTTAGCTATGAACTTTAATGCAAATTCGATTGCAATTGGCGAGCAAAGGCAGGACGAAATAATGGCAAATTTCCCCATTGTAACAGGCCCTTTTTCGAAACAATTATTTCAAAAATTTTTTTTTGGAAAACCGGGATAATTGCTCCAAATCCTATGCTTTCCAGGTATAATTGTTTGCTGGGTGCTTTCGCATTATCGGGGGTGGGGCGATATTGACGTTATAGTAGGTATTTATGCCTTAATAAAAATAATCTATATTTCAAGGGGAAGAACTATCTAAAACCTTTCAGATTTTGCAAAATTCGGAAATGATTTGAAAACCGGTCGTTATTAATCAAAAAACGAAAATTTTTTTTGCGTTTAGGAATGGTAAAAACAATTTAGAAGCTAAAAAATTTTTTAATTATAAAAATGGGCTTTTAAAGAAAACTAAAGTAGGTTTTACCCCTTTTAAGTCCCCCCCCCCCGATAATGCAGCAGTACGGTTGGCTATCACGGCAGTTTGTTATAACGATCTTTCTTTATTTTATGGTGAATTTGTTGGCAGCATTTATCTATGCAACTACTAAATTCGCGGAATTACTTCTGCTTTTTGGCACTTTTCAGACCCTTCTTTTTTTGAAACATATTATTTTGAAATTACCATTGCCCAAACGTGGCCAATGTGGCAAAGACGGCGGCGATGAGGAACGAGAATCCGGGCCACCAATCGAGTGTTTCACGATACAGCGAATTGAACACGATGCCGGAGATCACTGGGCAGATTACCATCACTAAAAATGTATTATAATTTCCGTTTTACTAAAGATTTATAGCTCTTTGGCGCACATTTTGTTCTGGCGAAGTTTTCGAATAATTTTTCAAATGCCAGGAAAACAACGACTTTAAAGAAAAGAGTAATGCAGTCAGAATGATACCAAATTTATTCAATAAAAAAGGATGGTTTTTGAGCTCATTCGATTACGCTACTGGGTGTATTAAATGCGAAAGAACCGATGTAGGGTTACACATCCGAATTAGCGCCTTCCAAATAATAAAAGCAGGGCATAACAAGGTAATTAAAAATAACTATTTAACGAAAAAATGTTTTACGACTGTCCTAATATCCAATTAGCGCTGAGACGTTTAGTCTAGCCCGTCAGGAACAGTGCCTAACAATAATAGAGTTTCTTGGCGTCTAGTGATGGTTGTTGGATGAATTTATCTCAGAGTTTCTATCAGTACTAAAGCATTTGCTTAATTATTATTATTATTATTTGGCACGTCTTTAGATCATGCGTCTTCAATTTTTTGAAGAAAAGAGGTTTCGGAATTATCGTAATTTTTGCGATTTTTGATGCTGGTAATCGGCATCGCCTGTCGAATTAGCGCGGCTTCGATATAAGAGGAGGGCTTTAAAACATAATTAAAAAATTATTGCACAAAAATGTTCTACGAATACCCCAATACTAAACTATCGGCGAAAAATTAATCAGTCGCCGTTACTATCCATAAAAGTCCCTAACAATAAATAAAAATTTTTTGACGTCGGATGATGGTTTTTAAAACCTTTGCCTTCTTAACGCAGTTTATAATTGCTATAACATTCTTTTTTTACTTTTTGTCTTCTTGACACCCACCAACGCCAAGAATCGAGAAGAGCCGCGCCGTTTCGTGTTGTTCGACGAGCCGCGGGACGAATGATCGACTGCCCGGATACAGGAAACCCACCAGGAAGAAGACGAATGCCGCTGAAAATACACAAAGGTATTCTTAACCATTTAAGGTACGTTTTCACGATTAGGATTTGCTATGGTTTTTATTATTTAGGGATTAAAGAGGCTCCGAAATACGGTCGTCTAATCGATTTAGCAAATTCGTATTTTGCCAAAAAGGCTTTCCGTCACATTGCGCTAAAACTTGCTCGTTTTGCCCGATGTTTCTTTCAAACCTTTTTTCTGTCCATTTTTTTTCGCATAGATAACCAAGATAATAATCTTCCAAAGATTGAATAAATCGTTAGATTCAGGCCAAATACAGGGTGTCCCAATAAAAAAGGTCACGCTGGCATTTTGTCATTTCAAATCCGATCGACTTGAAATTTTGAACAGAGCTGCGGAAGGCAATTTAAAATGTTCACAGAAACTTTCAGCCCGATCCGTAGAGTAGTTTTCGAGTTGTAACAAAAATACTGTTTTTTTCAACCGTTTTGATTTATTTCTTCGGTTATCTTTTTGGACTTTGCATCAATTAGCATCAATTTCGGCCCTAAATCCCTCATTCTTCTTCACATCGGGGAGGTTAACACCTTGTTAAAATTACTTAAACAACCTATTTCCAAGACGAATTTTACGAAATAAAAAATTTTCTCGGGTAAAAAAGGGTCGGCGCTTCATTTTTGCCATACATTTCAAGGCTCAATTCCGGCGAAATCCAGGTTAAAAACGTAAAATAAAGTTTATTTTTGCTATAACTCGAAAACTACTGTACCGTTCGGGCTGAAAGTTTCTGTGAACATTTTAAATTGCCTTCCGCAGCTCTGTTCCAAATTTCAGGTTGATCAGATTCGAAATGGCGAAATGCCAGCGTGACCTTTTTTATTGGGACACCCTGTATCTACAGGGTGGCTGATAAGTATCCGGAATGACTTTAAAATTGCCCAACAAAAAAAGCTCCTTCGGTTTTATGACTTGTTTTCTTTTTTATTGTATAGAACATGGCTTCCGTAAAGTTTTTTACAACTGATCCTGACACATCTGACCTGCTTAGAACTTTGGCACGCCAAAATCAAACTTCAATTTTGCGGTCAGGGACGTTTTTCGCCGAACTTAAAAGTCACATATCTTGAGATAGAAATGTTTTTGAAAAGTTTTCCCAACTGATCTTGCCATGGCTCCAGGCGCTGAGCATTTTGACATATTAAAAATCTGATTTGTTTGAGAGACCGGATTTTTGGGTTTTCCGATTCAGGCCATTTTTCGCAATCCGGGATTTTAGGACGAAGGATCTTTGGCCTGCCAATAGCCCGGATCAGAATCTATGGGATTTTTCTATGTGTGGATTCATAAAACAGGAGCTACCAAACATAAAAATCAACAACACAAACTATCCGCGTCGAGAATCTACCAAGATTTGGAACGAATTGTTTAGAAAATACCCGCGGCGCACAGCCATGTTTGGGCCGTCATAAATTAAATCATATATCAAAGCGGATGGGGCTACATTGAAAAGTTGTTACAAAAATGAATATTTAGCGTCCACTTATCATAAAAATAAACCGCTATTATTAAATTTGGGTTTACTTTTGTCGCTATAGCCCTCTACATTTTCCGGATACCGGACCAGCCACCCTGTACAGAGATAGGGCAGAATTATGCACATGAGGCAATCATATTCGTTCATCTGTTGACAACCTAATGGAAAGAGTCATCACATTGTGATGGGCGGACAGCTGAGAAGCTATCTTTTCATAAAAACATTTTTCCGCAAAAGCCAGAATCCATATCTTTTAGTCTTAAATGGAGAAAAATCTGCTTGAGAATACGGTAGGTAAATTGGGGGCATTGGAATGAAAGAAAAAGGCTCGCGCATTGCTTGAAATCTGGCCTGCCATGCCTGGCGCTTCTTTGAAACCTCTTTTCTGGCTAATTTTTCAGTATAGCGATACTAGATGACTATGTTTACATGGTATAGCAATTCGTTAAATACACGCCAAATAGCTAGAAAGATTATTAGTTACAGTTATTTGCATACGCGAATCGATTATGCGTAAAAACATTTTTCCGCAAAAGCCAAAGTCCATAAATAGAAGAATTCACTGGAGGATACGGTAACCAAATTAAGGGCATTGGATTGCAAGAAGCAAGGTGGCACGCGCTTTATTATGATGGTCAAGCTACCCGAGAATCAATTGTTTCATCAAAACATTTTTCCGCAAAAGTAAAAATTAATATATTTTTGCATTAAAGTAGAATAAAAACCTACTTGAGAATACGGTAGCCGTGTTCGGGGCAAATGCCAGCATATAGAATGATGTGGCCGCGCCGGTGCAGCCCAAAATGATATACAGCGAATCTTTGCCGAGGATCTGCAACCGGGCTAGGACGAGCGGGCCTGAAAATTCAAAATAGTTTCTATTTTTCACAGGCATCAAACGACCTTGATCATCAAGAAACTAAATAAGGACATACAAGGTTTCTAAGATTTTTGGTGAATGTGTTTCAAGAATTTTTAGAAATGAACGGTGATTATTTTATACGATCCGATATCGGTGATGTATGTCAAACCGAGCTTCCTAGTCTAATTTTTAAAATTTCACGAAATAATTCGAAATAATCAAAATCTAATTCGATACAAAATCTGCCTAATTCCCTGTAGAACTACGATTAAAACAATGTGTAAAAAAAATAGTGATTAACCACAGAAACGCTTTTTCAAAAAAATGTTCCATAAATTTTTAGGGCTGAACGAGGCGCTGTCAATTCAATCCAGTTTCGTTTACGATTCCATTACCTAAAACCAACAAAATCCGCGTCATCATTTAGAAAATGGGTTTATAATTAGCAAAAGAATGGCATTTCAACGGCGACTTTCAAAACCTTCAAAAATACCTAATCATTTCGATTTTTTAAATTATTTTTCGGACTTTTTATATATAAAAATTTTGTAAAATGTTATAAAACGGTTTCTATTTTGTTATAGGAGCAGGCAGGATTACTGTGAAAAATTAGAAAAACGGGTACGGAATGACCGTACCCAGTAGCATTCCAGTAGCCGCAGCGAGTCCCTTGACCGTCATGAAAAGGCTGAACAAGCTGTCAGACCAGTGGAAAGCCGGTAGCTTGATGTAGAGGTAGATGTAATTGATATCTGAAAAAAAATTGTTCGGGGCGATGCAATATGGACTAGACGAGAATAACAACCCTAGGGTAGTTACCTCTAAGAAACATCAAAATTCAAATTTTCTAAAGTCATTTTTGTTTTTATTTTGTTTTTATTTCTACAACTATTTTAGCTCAAAGAATTTGACTATTAGAATTCAAAAAAAATAATAACACGAAACAAAACCCTAGCGTTATGCGAAACATAAAAATGGAAACTTTTCGAAAATACTTTTTCTTATTTTATTTATATTTTGCAGGTATTTTTGATTGGAGAAATTTGGCTATAACAAAACGCTACTTATATTTTACTGATCTATCTGATCGCGCTCCAAAAGATGGAAAAATATAAATATCCCAAAATCTTCGTCTATAAATTTTCCCTCCCCGAGAAACTCGCCCCCCCTCCGCTAATGAACCAGAACCCTAGTATCTTCGATTCCTGTGATAAAAATAATATATTTTCAGAGCAAAATATTTTCCTCGTCTTAATGAAGAAAAATCAGACGGGCCGACTAGGGTGACCGATGAAACATTAAAGTGCAGACCGGCCCGTACCAAGCGGTTGAAAAGATTCGCTACCATAATGTCAAAATTTTTGGCATAGAGGTGGGGTTTTCTGAGAGATTCGCTATATTTCGACATTCCAAATTTCCACCTTCTCACATTTAGCCGTTCTCAATTTCGATATTATGATTTTCGACATTTTGAAAGCACCCGTTTGATGATACTTTCTTAAAGGCCCACTTTTCGAGTCATAATTAAATTTGATACTTCAATAAAAATTAAAAAATAGCTCCCAATAGGATTAGTTAATTCCTAAGTCTTTAATTTACGGAATTCTCATGATTCTAGGAATGCACTTTCTAGAATTTTTAGAGGGCTGACGAGGATTGTTATGGGCAAATTACTGAAAGTCCTCTGCTCTCCGCACGGTGATATTTACAGGAATTTGAAACATTTGAAACTGCACAGAAATTGTGGGAAGCTGAATTCGTTAAGCTTAACTTAATTTCAAGAATGAATAATCATTTAAAGCACCCTCCAAATACCTAAGAACAATCAGCTCGACAGCAGATAGGGCCAGGGAGGTGATGACGCAGAACCGGATCCAGCCACGTCTCTTTCGGAACAGCACCTGGAAATTCAAACCAGTATTAGAGTCACAGGATCCAGCGTATTACCATAAAGACCTCAATGCCCTAGCCTGGATACTTAGAAACATGTAATTTTTAGCAGATCTTTGTTTGTACTTTACCACGCACAGCCTGAACGTGCCAAAATTTCCGATATTTACGCAATTTTTTTTGTAGTTCTTTGAATGCCATTCGATAGGGCGTCGAAAAATATACGAGCAGTTTTAATTACAGCTTCAAATATTGTAATCGAAAAAAAGTTATAGCAAAAAAAAAACACAAAATAACCTTTGAAAATGGCGTCAAAAAGCTAGTTTTCGATATTAACGCTATTTTTTCGACATGTTCGATAAACGATTCGATAAAGCTTACAAAACCATGTAAGATTTTTAATGGCGGCTCAAAATAATTTAAAGGCAAATAGTTGCAGCAGACCAAAGCTGGTTCAATTGTATGGTTCACAAAAAAGTATCAGTTGGATGATCTTATGTTTATTTTGAATAGGTTTCTAACTTCACAAAATTAGAAAATGTAGCGAAAAATGGCTAAAATTATTCTATGCGGCTAAATTAGACTAAAACGAAAATAAAAAATTAATAAACTAAGCCACAATTTGTATATATTAAGCGAACAAAATATACCTCTTGCATCGATCGGTATAACCCGACAAAATGCTGCCAGCCGAGTACCACCAAATTGGCGGTCGAGCGCGTGGTAGTGATTGATGGGTCTAAATTAGAGCCTAAAAGGAGATGGATAAAAATCGTAAAAAGGTTTATTAATTTCTATAGTAATAATAAAATCTAAAATAAATATTTAAAATTTTAATCTATCTTTTGTATTCCTTAACACGAGAAAATGGCATTTTTCGAAGTTTTGGAACGTCTAATAAGGATAAAATTAATCCGCGCGGTCTTTGAACAAAATGATACACATTTTTTTCAAAAATTTTAATTTTTTTAATTTTAGGTATTTAGATACTGAAGCTAAAAGCAAGATATATAATGCATTTATTAACGGATGTGACTAAAATCAAGAGAATAAACCGGAATAAAAGCCACTCACCCGAACTGCTCGAAGTCGACGCGGCACCCAGGTCCGGCCCGTATTCCCCGACGCGATTCGGGTGATGAGTCTCCCGAACGAATAGCATCACGTAGAAAAATGTAGCAAATATGCAAGCGCATTCTAAAAACATTTCCGGTTTTTACAAAAAACTTAAATAAAAAAATCTGTTTCAAAGCTGATACTTATATCAAAAAAATATTTTTTAGTAATTGCTCCAAGTTCGCTAGGGGCTAGCTACCAAGGATTATACTGATTTTAATTAGCAACCGATTTTATTTTTTTGAATATTTATTAGTATTTGCAATTATTTCGAGGCAAGTTAATAAAAAATAAATATATCTCCATCTTTCTAGTTAAAACAATCTGTTTCAACCTTGTCGAAAGTAATAGTCTCCCTACGCCAAATCCTCTACTATAATAGATCCTGGAGGAGGGCTCGGGTTGCCACACTAATACTTAAGACTGTGCCCCTTGGGCCCCGCTCGGACAACCCTGCATCCGGTATAGAACACGGACCGGGAGATGGCAAGAGATCCCAAGAAGCTTGACAAGAAGTCACACAATGTTCAGTGGTAGTTTCTACAATCGTGTATTAGAATCCAGTGCATTTCGGTATAGAGAACACAAGATATAAACATAAAGTTTATCGGCAGTATAAACCATTAGAATACAAATACACTCATCGTTGTATCAAAGGGACAGGTTAAAGTGTTGGTCTTACTCGCTGGGCTTACTGTAACCGTTTTTTGTTGACCGTGGGATTTCGATACGTGAGATAGCTATTTTGTGCAGAGTTTTTCGCTGATTCGAATCCGTTTTCAAAAGTTGCAGAACCCCTCTAGATAAAAAGTTACAGCCGGTTTTCTACCCCAAATGACCGAAAATTACAAACTTTAAATCCTTATAAAGGCTCGTGGAACATTTTGTGGGGATAAAATACAGCACTCCCTAGGGTTAAAAAACGTGCTCTTTCGAATAGGCTACCTCACGAACCCGTAGCTCAAAATTCATGAAAAAAAGTTTTTCGGTGGAAGAATGCCCTGGATGGCCAATTTTGAAATTTTGTGAATTTTGAGCTACGGGTTCGTGGGGGTAGCTTATTTAAACCGTTTGCCATGGCGCTGTATTTATCCCACAAAATGTTCCAGGACAGTTATAGATTTAAAGACTTTTTCGGTCATTGGGTAGCGGCTGTCACCTCTTATCTAGAGGCTGTAGCTTTGAAACGGTCGGAATCAGCGAAAATCTGCACAAAATGTCCTACCTCACGTATCGAAGATCCCAACTGGCGCAAATTTGGCACAGGCAAAGCTGCTGGGCGTAAAGCAAAAGATAGCTGGGCTTTTGCTATCGCAATACCAACACAGACCTGGTCGTAAAACCCTAATAAAATCCGTCAGTTCGTCTGGTCGATAAATACGAAAGCTGCTCGCCCTCTCTCCGGGGGAGGGGCGCCGCGCTCGGTAACGTACACCTTTTAGCCAAACCATCGAACGTTGCAGCATAATGCTGACAACTTTCGACACTGCCGTCCCAACTCAGCGACTGAGTGAGGCACCACTGAACTGAGGAAGGTAAGAGTCGAACCCTTCGACTCAGCGACCGACCGCGGACTTCGGTAAAAACGCACTGGCCCAGAGACGGACGCAATGGCTACATCAGACATGGCGGGAGGGTCTAGTGGACTTGAAAGCAGTAATCGATTTCGGGGTATGATTAGGTGAGAACGCGTAGTGGAAAGGCCTTCCGGCCCGAGCAAAAAGAAGAATTTTAAGAGAATTTTGAAAGGCGTGGTGAGTTAGACCTTAGAACCAAGTAGGGACGTGGAAAACCGTGTGCAACACGGTGTGGGGAGAACAACGGATGATTGTACAGGTAAACACAAAAGCATATACAACCTGATAAAAGTGGTGGATGCTGTCAGCTTGGTATATTGTTGAACATGTGGTTGTGGCCATGGTAGTGTTGAGCAGCATGGGTATCCGCGACAGGAAATTTGACTTTCCACGAAGCTTCATTTACCAAGTTGTTGGGCGTTGTTCTGGGCTTAGGTGAAACCTGGGCGTAAAGGAAACTGGGCTTCGAAAAGTCTGGGCTTCTAGGAAACTGGACGTCTGAAAAACTGGACTTTGAGAAAGACTGGACGTCTGAAAACTGGACTTTTGAAAAACTGGACGTCTGAAAAACTGGACTTTGGGAAAAATCTGGTCGTTTTGGAAAAGTCTGGACGTCTGAGAAACTGGACTTTTGGAAAAATCTGGACGTCTGAGAAGCTGGACTTTCTGAAAACTGGACTTTGTAGAAAGTTAATCCAACCAATTATTCTCCGAAACCTCTGGGTCCGTTTCACCATAAGCAGTATCTTGCTGTAAAGCGAGGCTTGGCCAAAGTTCGGTTGGTGGTTTTGCTGGGCATAGTTTTTTGAGAACCTGGGCATCGACTTTCAGGGTGTTCTCCGCGACCATGATGAGGCACGAAACGGCTCTCACCATAATGCGCCCTGAAGCGAAAAGTCGAAGTTTGACGTTGCGTATTGCTCCGTCTTTACCTTCGAGAAGTTCCGTAATTTGGCCAAGCGGATAATTGCCCCGTTTGCCGTGAGGCTCAACAACAGCAACAACATGACCAAGTTTCGGAACTTTGCTGGGCATACCGGGCTTCGACGCCGATCTGTACTTGTTTTTGTCACGAACTTGTGGCAAATAGTACAGGTCGTAATCTCGCCACAACTTATCAAGCTGTTTCTGATACCTGTTCATCCATTCACCGACGGCTTCATCGGTTGGATTGACTTTCAGCTGGAATTCAGGATCTTCTTGCGCTTCAGGGTCGTAGAACGGCGGCGCCGTCCGGAGCCCGGGGTGAACAAAATCCATTGGTCGTAGCGACACAACTTCATTATCACACTCCAGGAAGACGAGCGGGCGGTTGTTGGTGCTGGCCTCGATGTCGACGAGCAAGGTAGAAAAGTCAGCAGCATCAAATCTGTGACTTTCCGCCACAGAATCGAGTTTGCGCTTGATGACCTGGATCATTCGCTCGGCATGACCGGATTGCCAAGGTGCCGCAGGGGCATTGAAGATCCACTGAATTCCGTGCTGGGCGAAAAAATCAGAAAGTTCCTGATTTGCTGGGCTTGCTGGGCTTGCTGGGCTTTCAGGTTCAGAACCTGTATCACTTTGCTCCCCTTGCCTCTGATGTAGCGAGGTCAGAATCGCATCGGCTTTACGGAAATTGGTACCGTTATCGCTCCACATCTTGTGGGGATAGCCTCTGCGACCCGTGAACCTGCGCAGACATCGTAGGAATTCGGTGGTGCTGGTGGACTGGGCGACTTCCAGGTGGACCAGCCGGGTGGTGAGACATTCGAACAAGCATACGTGGACGGTATGTGTTTCGTTTGCTCTCCCCTTTAGAGCAAAAAGGCCTGGCCAGATCGACACCTGAAAATTGAAAAGGAATACATCTGGACGTTCGCTCTCGAGGAAGCGGTGGAACATCTGGGCTTTTGTACGGACGGCCATTCCGTATGTTACACTCGATGCACGTAAATTTCACTCCAACTGTTCCAATTAGGTGAAAACGTTGCATGAGTCTGGCTCTCGTTTCGACTCTACCCAAGTGGATGCCATTTTCCACATGGGCTTGTTTGTACAACAGGTCGGCCAATGGTGAGCGACCATACAAGATCGGCTCACCTTCTGTAGAGCTGGGCATATTTGTAACACGATTCCGCAGTCGCAAGATACCGAAAGGATCCTTCTGTACGAACCTTTGGGATTGTTTGCCGATTCGCTCAGCGTAATCCTCTTGTTGACAGAAAATCAGATAGTTTTGAGCAACTATCTTCTTCTGATGTTCGTTCTCGCAAGACTGGGAAGCGGTTGCAAAGATTTCAGCACCGGGGTAACCCGGGTTTGCCAAAAGAGCGCTGGTCGTGTATGACAGAAGCGAATCGATATCGAGAAAAGACGAAACTTCAACCGGTAGGACCGGCTGCTCGAGTTTCTTTTCGCTCTGTGGCTGGTCTTTTGGTTTTGCTGGGCCAGTTTGCTTCGAAGTGCTGCCTTTTGGGCGACCGCGTCCTCTCGGCGCCTCCTTCTCGGGGGCGTCATCAGCTGAGTGATCGCCACGATCGGTGGCATCTTCATCTGAAGCATTTGCTGGGCGTTCTGGGCGTTTGCCTACTCGACCCTTTGGCAGACGCCTGGCTGGACGTTTTTCACGTTGAGTTATGTTTACTAATGCCGTACCCATCTCCTTATTATCGGAAACTGGGCGGGTCCGGTAAACAATAATCTCCCGCGGCCAGTCTGGTTTTGGCAACGCTAAAAAAGCTGGGCCAGTGAACCATCCTCGCTCTACCGCCTCTGTCATAGACACCGCTTTGGTGCCCATGTCAGCCGGGTTGAGCGTGCCGGGCACGTGATAAATAGCAACTGGGCATATGGCCATGAGCCGGTGGTAACCGCTGAGAAACTTACCGACCTGATTCTTGACGAAAACGGGCATATGCTTGGCTTTTGATGTGATTTGGCCAATCGCGATCGTCGAATCCGCGTAGAAGTTGATTGCCGCCACATTCAAACATGGGCGTAGCTCTTCCACAACGTATTCCGCAAGATCCATGGCCATCTTCATCCCAAGCAGCTCCGCTTTTGGTACAGTAATTCGTTTCTGAATTGGGTTAAGTCTGGACTTTGTGGTGAGAAGTTCGGCTTGAAGGCCCTGGTCTTCTTCAAGTGCGGATTGCAAATAGATTGCAACGCACATGGCATCCTCCGATGCATCAGAAAATACGTGGACGGTGGTACGCGGGTCTGCGTAGAACCGCTCACGATCTCTGGTCCGTATTACCGTTCGAGGTACTACGGTCTGGGCGTTTTGGTACTCCTCAACTAATTCTTTCCATCGGCTAACCAAAGGCTCGTCGATCGCTTGATCCCAACCAACAGAATGCTGCCAGAGGGACTGGACGAAAAGCCGAATGGATAGCGTAAATGGGGCGCTGAGCCCCAAAGGATCGAATATAGAAGCGGAAACCTGATAAACTTGACGCTTAGTCAATGCTGGGCTTCGAGATGA